AAACCACTTCCGTGCGTTCAAGAACATAAAGACTTAGGAGTAGTAAGAAGTCATGATTTAAAAACAACTACGCATTGCAAAGCAGCCGCTATCAAAGGTTTTCGTGCGTTTGATCACTTCGCCGAGCGTTCAAATCTTTTGACGAGGAAACATTTCGAATTTTATATCCCACCTACATAAGACCACATTTAGAGTACTGTATCCAAGCAGCTAGCCCATGTCTGGTAAAGGATACTAACTCACTTAAGCGTGTCCAGCGTGTGGGAACGAAATTACTGAAGGGTCTTTCTAAACTCCCTTACGATGAGTGTTTAAAACGCCTAAACCTTTCCCCTTCGTCGTATCGTAACGCGAGGTGACCTTACACTGGCATTTCGTATCTTTAATTATGATTTGGGTGTTACTATGTCTTATCTTTTTGCTCCCTCCAGCACTAATAATCTTCGAGGTCATAGCAAGAATGTTCACAAACCGCCACCTAGTAAACTTAAAGTAGGATCCCGTTTTTCTCATCGAGTGGTCAATGACTGGAACGCCTTACCCGAACAAGTGGTATCAGCCCCATCCGCGAATATTTTCAAGGAGAAGCTGAATCTTCACTGGGAAGCAATGTGTCAGAATTATTACAGGTTTACCAACTTACTATTCTTATTACTGAAGACTGAAGAATGAAGACTGAACGACGTATATATTTCGACAGTCAAATAATGCGGTTCTGTTACAAAAGGGGAAGCTTATTTACAAAATAGTTTCACACTTCATTCTTCACGCACAGTCCATACATGTTCTTCACCCGGCACATTTACCTTTTGTTAATCTGCAATAAAAAGGTTCACGTCGATAACATTACATAGGCTGGCATCTGATACTATTACATATCTATCCTCACGAGACTCTTTTCTCTGCCTAACTGTGGATAGGGGTGTGTCATTTTTCGTAACATACTTAAAAACAGCTTATGTTAGGCGGTATTTTGACGAACTGGGTATCTAAATACACCGTCGTTAAGTCTGGTTTCAACTGAACAAGTTGTTCCGTTCTAATATCATCCTAAGATATCTAAAAGTTAAGTAAAACAAAGGTGGTGGGAGAACGGACGGACATAATTTTGTGGTGCACTCGCTAAGGATGGTGGGACTTGCTGTATGTGAAGCCACAGGGCGTGGTCTTGCTCCCAAGTTTTGTGTTGGATCTGAGCATATGTATGCGTTCAAGTTTAGAGTGCCTATACACTAATTGTAGACCTACAGTGATTTGGGGCTCCCTTCATATGGTTTGAGTTTGCGTTGCGAATTGCTGATTCTATAAATCATGTACTACCTCTTTGCAACGCTAAAGTGACCTTGAGAATGGACACCCAATTACTGGAGCCAAATCGGTGTTATCAACCAGTGCGTGGGATTGGGGCCGTGATCTACAGATGTTGATTAAGGTCAGGAATTAGATCTACGGTTTTTACCACGAACTGACATAAGCTAACATGCCAGAATTCTAGCTGAACAAATAGATGAGTGTATTTCACGCAAACACTTGAGACCTGCCCTGTTAAACCTGATTGGTTGTTCCATAAATTACGGTCTCACCCATCATGTTCCCATATTCAAAATGATCTTCAGAAAGACTGCTAAAGATCGAACGGAAAGTTCTACAATCAAACTGGTTAAAATTGGGTATCATAATTACCGATGTAAGATTCATTCGAAAGGCAGTTTTGTCTCAGTTAGCCTAAGATTTCAGATCACAGAGTACCAACACTCCTTGATACTTTCCAACGTGGAATATTACTAGATTTGAGTAATTAAGTTGCATGCGTAGCACACAACATATTCAAGACCGGCTACTTTACACTTTATAATGTTGATGGTCATTCATTTGTAACCCGTCCAACTTTGAAGTCAAATCTCTGTGAAGCAACAGACCATCATCTTTTTTACAAAGCTTCTACATAATGTTTTATATCAACTCCTAAGTGTAATAGACTAGGCGAGACTTGCTGAGGAAGATCAATCATATAAATTAAAAGAAGAAGTCCTAGTATAGGACCATGCTAACCCACACTAAAACATCCTGTAGCCCGAAAATAAGCGGAGTTTATTCTCACCTAAAAGTCAGATTACTTAGACGTGAAGTGTTACAGGAAGAATATACATTATTTGATGGACTTATGCTTGTTACATTGAATACCATTAGTCTCACTGTGATTTACGCACATACGTTTTACCCGGGTTTCGAACACGTTCGTTTATAAATTTAACGCTGAATATTCCTGGTTTCACCCTGGTTCTGACCTGATATTTTGATATTTCGTCTCCTAAAAACGTAAAATTGAAGGTTTATGCTTCGACTGTTACTTCCACATGTAGCTCGTCCGTAGATACTGCCAGTCCCAAACCAAGGTGAATTAGGAGCTTCGAACGTGGGTTCAGCAACGACAACAACCACAAAGAAAACAACCTTTCATAAAAACATCAGCCATATTAAAGGCTTAAGCCACTTAAACTCTGCCTTGGGAGTTGAGGGTTTGTTGTGAAACTTCAGGATGGAATCCAAAATTCTTCGGAAGTCGGATGTTGCCTCTTCTAACAACCAGAACAATAATCAACATAGGTGGATGGAAGATCCGGTCAATGTGACAGATCGGAATGATCAGTCAAAGTGCCACAGGACTGAGGAGATATAGATTGGCAGTACTAGGAATCAGCGAGACTTATTTGACACAAGCTGGACAGCAAAGGCTAGATACAGGAGAGATGCTTCCGTTCTCCAGTCACGAGGGACGAAATGCACCTTACACTCAGATAATTGTTTTGATATTGTACAAAGAAGCACGAAATGAACTTGTGGGATGGCAATCTCAATGATCCAGAATCATCAAAGCATCATTTCTTACAAATTAGGAGGTAATCACGATGAATGTCATCCAATGTTATGCAACCGACAATGATAGCATAAAAAGATGATAAAGAACAGTTTTACGAGAGGATGCAATCAACCATAGCAAAGTTACTAATAAAGTACCTGACCATCCCGGTGCGAGATATAAACGCCAGAGTTGGAATGGACAACACAGGGCATGAAGATATCATATGACGACTTGGACTATGAAAGGGCAACAAAACAGGGAAAAACTTGCATATCTATGCGCATTCAACAAATTGGCTATAGGTGGCACAATATTCCCATACAAACACATACACAAAGCTACATGGATCTCACCGTACCACACTACAGAGAACCAGGCAGATCACGTTCGCATCAATAACAAGCTACGAAGGACGATGAAAGATGTGAGAACCAAGAGAGGGGTTGACATAGTTTCAGATTACCACGTGGTTGTGGCCAAGATGAGGCAAAAGCTTAAGGAAAACTAGACAGCTGGGTGAAGAGCATTACAAATGTTCAATACAGCCTACCAACGAGATGCCAGCAAACTCAACGAATTCAAGACAGCTCTCAACAACATATTCCAAGCCTTACAAGATCTACTCAACGGAAAAGAAACTAGCAAGGAGGACCAGTGGAAAAGTATCAAAGAAGTATTAAATTCAATGTGTTATTAGGTGCTGGGCCGCAAGCATCATCATAACGAATGGATCTCTACAGCAACACTGAACAAGATCCAAGAAAGGAAGAACAAGAAAACAATAATTAACAACAGACGAACACAATCAGAGAAAGTCAAGGCAAAACCTCAGTACACAGAAGCAAACAAGCAAGTGAAGAAGAACATTAAAGCTGACAACCAGAAATACGAGGAACAACTAGCAACGACGGCAGAACAAGCTCCAAGAGAACGAAATATGAAACAAATATATGATACAACGAAGAAACTAGCAGGGAGGCAGGTCAACCACTGAAATTCAAGAACAGAGGATCAGATGGATAGAGTATTTTGAGGAACTCGTGAATAGACCAGCTCCAGTGAATCCAGTGGACATCGAAGCAACAAACACAGATCTTCCTATAGCTGCCACTCCACCAACGATCGAAGAGATCAAGATAGCAATCAGACAAATCAAGAGTAGGAAAGCAGTAGCACTTGAGAATATACCAGCTGAAGCTCTGATGTCAGACATTGAAGTAGCTTCAAACATAATTGACGTTCTATACGAGATTTGGGAGGAGGAAGAAGTGCCGACGGACTGGAAAGAAGGACACCTCATCAAGATACTAAAGAAAGGAAATCTGGGAAAAGTGAGAAATACAGAGGCTTAACATTGCTGTCAGCAAGAGTAAACGTTTTCAACAAAGCAAGGGCGGCATTCCGCATTCTCAAGGTTGAAGAAGCTATGGAACTAAAGACAACCGTCAATCAAAATCAAAGAATCTTCAGTACGAACATCAAGACGGTTCTTCAATACGAAGCTGAAACTTGGACAACTGACACCACCATCATCAAAACATATGCGTTTGTGAACAAATGTGAACTGAAGATACTCCAGATCCGTTGGCCATAAAGCGTCAGAAACAGCCCACAGTGAGAGAGGACAAACCAGCTTACACCTTAAGAGGAAATTAGGAAAAAAAGTTGGAAGTGGATAGAACATGCATTCAGGAAATCATTAGACTTCATCCCAAAGTAAGCTATGATTGGATCAATCGACCATGCTTCAGTAACGGATTAGAGCAGAACTTGGATGTAACAGTAATCCCGACCATTACCGATGACTTCATACCTGACAGTTCGAGCTAATTGATCAGAAGTATATAACCGCCCTACTAAAATCTTTTGAGAGGTCAAGGTACGCAGCACCAGTCTAGCGATTAAGGGTGGCTTTCCATCTCTCCATCGCGGTCAGTAGATTATTTATACGGTAGTGACTTCCTGAAACCGTACTGTTGCGGTGAAAAAAGTTTAGGGATAATAGGTGGTGATGCAAACAACCGTATAACAAGGAGTCCAAGACTTTCGAGGGTAGTCAAAATTCGTGTCTCGAATGTTGGACATTGGAAAAGTAGTGTGGTTGGTATGACAACAATAATCTGTGTATTTTGACTCAATGGAATTTTCGAAACAAAGTCCTAACAACGATGAAAAATTGAATTCATATATTGTAAAGCCACAATTTGATCAGAAATTCCGCCCCTGGGCAGTAAGAAGCATCATTTCTCAGTTACTAAAGGAACGGCTGGAAAGGGAAGTATACTCTCCTGAGAACACTCATGGTATATCATAAAATCTTTTTACAGTTATCTGCAGAAAAGTGCATTTCCCTGGCTGATGAAATCAAACGCTTATTAAGGAAAAGTCTATCTTTGCGACGTTATAGATACTTGGTCCAAGTCATCATTGGCGAAAAGAAAGGTCAAGGAGTGAAAATGGCACGCCGCTGCTATTGGGACTCTGATACTGATAACTGTGCAGATGCTTCATTTGTAAATGATTCGTTGTTCTGTGTTGCCTCGGTTTTTGGTGTTTATAGCTACTAAGTATATGAGTGTTGCACTTCAAAAAGTGTCTTAAAATATTTTATGAATTTCCAATTAAGCGTTAATGATTTTTTTAAAAAGAGAATACCGATAATTTTGTAAGTCATGGTAAAAGGATGGAAAAGTTGCCCTTAGTGATAAGCATCTTTCACCAAAAAGCAAGTAACTGGGTCGAGCCAATAAGCACCAACGAACATATCCGCAATATGAACATTGAAGCATTTGCCTCTCAGCACAATTGAATATCTTTGGATGATGTTCATGTCGCAGATTTTTAAATACAAACTGCTTCAACAAATATGAAATATATATTACAGAAATGTTAGTTCAGTGTCACTATTCATTGCCAGTTGTTGATGGTTCCTTGCTTTATAATAAAGAAGCAACAGTACTAGTTTGCAAATACTAGTAGAAAGGTTTAATCAACTGATTTAAGTTAAATTGACCATTATAATAGGTCTATTTGAAAAAAAGCTAGATTTTTTTAGTAAACCAACTCATAGTTAGCTATCTGCAACGTGGAACCCGGCAAGTATGTACATCAATCCAAATTATCACATTCCACTAGTACAGCGAGATGAATTTTTTCACATGTCAAATCCTCGAATAGCAGATGCAGTAACGGTATCAGTACTAGTAGAAAAGATAAGGTACAAAAATATAGTTTTAGAATGTAGAAGATTATACGACATATACAATTATGAGGTTATTTTGAGACCCATGACCTCAGAAAAGACAAAAAGTGATTGCATCTACGTTACTAAGGTTAATTATGAGTCATGTCATTAAAGTCTCTAAACATGAGTTACAGTAGGTGTAGGAACCGTAACCAGGTAGTTTGTACCAATAAATAAGTCTCAGCGGCCATACCAACTGGTGCCACGCTTCAGATTAGTTACTCCTAGCTTTATCCCAACATACTGTTATGCCGAAAGACATCGCCTATCGAGGAACGTGGTAGCTTGCCATATGTATCACATGCTTTAACTTCCTCCAAAGATGGCGATCCACAACCTTGTCAGCTGACTGGCCATATTTAATCAATATCCTGTGTTCATTCCCAAAATTTATCGTTCATTTGACAGTACATAAAACATTTTTCGAATCCACCTATAATCAAAAGCCATCAACCTAATCATACCTTCTCCCTTCATAGGCCGTGTTTCATTCGTCGCTTGGTTATGAGACGAAATCACGCTCACACCAAAAGTGATACAGATTGGCGAAAGCCAGGTGGGATTTCTGGGTCATTTCCGACAATTTTCCTGAGATAAACTCATGAGGGATGTAGGAATTTGCAAGATGGGTTGATCGATTGAACCAAACACTAATACCTATCATTAATTTGAGCGTTGAAGCTGACACTAAAGGACTGCTTTTTTGTCTACACACACTTTTATTACCAATGAGTAAATATGCAGTGGTGTTCGTCAGATTAGTGATTGATGAGTTTTGTAAGACTGGCATATTTTTTGTAAGCGTTTAAAATCGTTTATGCTAACAAAATGTATATCCTATGCATAGATCTGTTCGTAACACTAATATATCTGCTTATATGATCTGCGATGGATCTCATTATCTGCATCTTTTTTTTCTCATCACCTGTAGTCACTATTCACAAGGAGTAATTAATGAGCTTAGTATATTCATGCTTTCATAAGATGAAAAATCTGAAAACAATAAGTAATTTGGGAAGTCCTTTGATTCGAATTCACAGCAGTTGACCACCCTAAACAACTTTGTTTCAAAAAATAGATATGCTGTCATGAGTGACATGTTTCACAACTTTCAGTGACAAACTGATGCTAAATAAGTAGGGTAGTTTCTAATACATGAATAAAATCTCAAGTTGAAGAGTGGATAGTTATTCATTTAGAGTTATTATTATAATTTAAACACATAAATATTGGTACAAGGAGGCACCGAATACATATGCGCCACATTTCACCATCTGATTTGTGTGAGGACTTGGATACTACATGGTTCATGAGAATCATTTAAGCATACTAAGGAGTTTTTAATAGTTGGTATCAAATGTCAAGTCAGAGTTTCATGGATCACAGTAGGTCTACATCAAGTAGATTAACAAAAAAGATCAGCTGAAATCAAATATAAGTGATTGTTATCCATAAATATAAAGAAATTTCTACGATTTAACGAGCACTTTGTATTGGACTACCTTTATAATAATACAGGATAAAAAGATAGAGCCAATCTAGAAAACATGAAGGAAAAATCAGATGAGCTTAATAAGCAGAAAATGGAGTGGTTACACAGGTCTAGAGTTGTTTTCAAAATTATCTGTGAAAGTTCACCATTCCTGTTGTCCAAGCAGACATATTTTTTTAATCCCAAATCGAGTGGAATAATTTCATTTTCACAAGTTATAAGATAGTCAACTATGAAGATTTCAGTTAATAGTCGGGAGAACTTTTCCATACACTACAACTAATTAGATTTGTACAAACTTTCGGTTACCTGTTGGGTATTTTTATAGTAATAATGAGCTGAATACAATGCAACAATAAGTGCAATGCTCTTTTGGCCCTTTCACTGCCATCCAGCCAGGTAACTTCAGGACTGAAGATCTTAGTTAACGTAGACCAAAAATGGCTATGTATCTACGACGCATTTATCATTATCGCCACATTGTAAGAATAATATTATCTCCTATTTCTACTTCCCTGTATTCCATAAATTTTAAAATGTATTTCCTGTGTTTTTAGTCTGATAATTTAAAAGACCTTTACCTATAATAATGATAATCTCTACCAGAAAGTGACAGATTTCTGGACACAAAATACGTGTTCCGACGAATCCCACTTACAATTAAGATCTTCTGGTTGCGTATTTATACTAGGGCATATTTGAGCATTTAAATCTCTGCATTTTGGTAAATTTTGATGTACCCATTTCTAATGTAGCCTGGATATAGACAAGTTGTACCAAATACTATTGCGTCATGGCCAATTTTTCATGATACATTGTAAGCTTTTGATAAGAGATTGTGACTGAATAATGAAGTAAAGAAAATCTCCTAGGCACTTACAATACATCAAACATAACATGATATCTTGAAATATTTGACAAATTGAAAATACAAAGACCTAGAGATCGAATTAGGCCGCTATGCCCACTACAGCTGTTATTATTTTGACTTATTAGTTATTTGTGCACTGTGGTTAATTAAACTGATATACATTTCTATGAAGACACGTCACTCAAAACTGTACTAGAAATATTTAGCTTAAAAAGCCAGTATTCACTTAATTACAGAATACTTTTCTATCTAACCATTAAAATTCTATCAGTATATTGAGCTAATTCAGTTTTTATTACAATGATAGGAGTGCCAATAAACTTAAAACAACCCTTAATATAAAAAAAAATATTATGAAGTATATCATGTAGATAAGAGAGTTAAATTACTATGTATCTACAAGTTCGTTTGCACCTACTTCAGTCAATATTATTCACAACTTGGAAAATAATATACAATATGTTTTTACATTATATTTCATGGTATTTATAGTATAGTAAATGTGTGGTGTGTTACTTATATCGACATAAGTAGTATATGGTGTTATTTAGGAACAGAATCCCTGGAATCAGAGACAAGAGGATTGAACAGTAAAGAATGGAAACAGGATGCAATTTGTATGAACATGCAAGAACAATGAAGTCTGAGTCATTATGAGACAATTGATGGACATTTTGCAAATTAGGCATTTATTTTATGATTGTTAGATTTTATTAACAAGTCCTGTAATTTTGTGTCAAATATATTTGATTGTCGCAACCCATGTTCTGTTCACTACACATGTTGTATACATCTCGAAGTATGTGGAACTAATAAGATTTGTGGAAAATGTACAGGTTAAAAATGATGATAACAAACTCCAAATCTGAAGTTTGTGCTGATGATGTCGTTCAGAAGAACGAAAACTCCACGACCAAACCATCCAGCTCATAGAACAAAACACCACAAAAAACTCCAAATTCGCCTTTTCTATGAGGTTTACAGAAATAAACAAATTCATATCTGGTGTTAAATAATATATTTACCGGTGATTAAGTGTATGATGTAATATATTTCCATAGCAAGATCAATCATTTGTCGCTTTCATTAGAATTTTGTCAAAAAAGGAGAAATAATATCTAACGTATTGCGTTTAACATTCAATTTTATGGAGACTGATGGTTCAGCTATTGATTTTTATAAATTTTGAATATTTCCTGAGAAGGAGTCTGTGAATATAGAAATTATATATGACGGACGTTTCATGCCGTATGATCAAAATTCTAGCTTTAAATTAAAACTATTTTCCAATGCTTCAATAAAACTTGCAGAATAAGTACTTAACTATCCCCGTGAAAGGAAGAAAAACTTTTGTCAAGCAAGACTGTACCCCATATTTTCAGCATTTTTGTTGTTGTTGTAAAAACTGGACAATTCTAATTGACCTACATGGTTCAGACTTAGAATCAGTCATTGGCTACTCAATGCCATGTTATATTGACTATTCTTAAACATTGCATATATTACACTTATTCTAAGTAGCATAATAAAAAAATATACACACTGTAAAAACTGTCCAAAATCTGGTTAGGTTTAGATATAAAGAAATACCTGGAAAGTTATACAGTGGTGATGATTAAAAAAAGATATACAGTTGAAAAATGAAACACCATCCTGTAGAGAAATAACATTATGTATTTCGATAGGTGAAAATTAGATTAATTTGAAAAATGCATGTTTAGTATCTGCATAGTGATGATCATAGTAAACGATAAGAACTAGTGATCATTACTAATATGATGGCGTGTACTTTAGAATGTCAATATTCAGTCCACTTTCTACGTACATAATGAAACATACTACGATCTTAATAGAATACCCGAAAACAATACATTGTTTATTGAAATGCTAGCAGTACTAGTAATTTTAACACTGTGAATAAGAATCTTCATAAAGCATTCAAATATTTTAATAAAACTTA